CAACCACCATCACCACCACCAACCACCACCATCACCACCAACCACCACCACCAACCACCAACCACCACCAACCACCAACCACCACCAACCACCACCATCACCACCAACCACCAACCACCACCAACCACTACCATCACCACCAACCACCACCAACCACCACCATCACCAACCACCACCATCACCACCAACCACCAACCACCACCACCAACCACCACCATCACCACCAACCACCACTAACCACCACCACCAACCACCTCCACCAACCACCACCAACCACCACCACCAACCACCACCAACCACCAACCACCACCAACCACCACCATCACCACCAACCACCACTAACCATCACCACCAACCACTACCAACCACCAGCCACCACCACCACCACCACCAACCACCACTACCACCACCAACCACCACCACCAACCACCACCAACCACCACCAACCACCACCACCAACCACCACCACCACCAACCACCACCACCAACCACCACCACCAACCACCACCCACTGCCACCACCAACCACCACCACCACCACCCACCACCAACCACCAACCACCACCAACCACCGCCACCAACCACTGCCACCACCCACCACCACTACCAACCACCAACCACCACCACCAACCACCACCACCAACCACCACCAGCGACCACCACCCACCACCACCACCAACCACCACCACCACCACCAACCACAACCACCACCAACCACAACCACCACCAACCACAACCACCACCAACACCACCAACCACCACCACCAACCACCACCACCAACCACCACCCACTGCCACCACCAACCACCAACCACCGCCACCACCACCCACCGCCACCACCAACCACCGCCGCCACCAACCACTGCCACCACCAACCACCACCATGCCCCACCACAACCAACCACCACCACCAACCACCACCACCACCCACTGCCACCACCAACCACCACCACCACCCACCACCACCACCAACCACCAACCACCAACCACCAACCACCGCCACCACCAACCACCGCCACCAACCACTGCCACCACCAACCACCACCAACCACCACCACTACAAACCACCACCAACCACCGCCACCAACCACCGCCACCACCACCAACCGCCACCACCCACTGCCACCACCAACCACCACCATCAACCACCACCAACCACCACCAACCACCACCAACCACCAACCACCACCACCAACCACCACCACCAACCACCACCAATCACCAACCACCATCACCACCAACCACCACCAACCACCAACCACCACCAACCACCACCACCAACCACCACCAATCACCAACCACCACCACCAACTATCACCACCAACCACCACCACCAACCACCACGACCAACCACCACCACCAACCACCACCAATCACCAACCACCACCACCAACCACCACCAATCACCAACCACCACCACCACCAACCACCACCATCACCACCAACCACCAACCACCACCACCAACCACCAACCACCACCATCACCAACCACCAACCACCACCAACCACCACCATCACCACCAACCACCAACCACCACCAACCACTACCATCACCACCAACCACCACCAACCACCACCATCACCAACCACCACCATCACCACCAACCACCAACCACCACCACCAACCACCACCATCACCACCAACCACCACTAACCACCACCACCAACCACCTCCACCAACCACCACCAACCACCACCACCACCAACCACCAACCACCACCAACCACCACCATCACCACCAACCACCACTAACCATCACCACCAACCACTACCAACCACCAGCCACCACCACCACCACCACCAACCACCACCAACCACCACTACCACCACCAACCACCACCACCAACCACCACCACCACCAGCCACCACCACCACCAACCACCACCACCACCAACCACCACCACCAACCACCACCCACCACCCCCACCACCACCACCACAACCACCACCACCAACCACCACCCACTGCCACCACCAACCACCACCACCCACCACCAACCACCACCAACCACCGCCACCAACCACTGCCACCACCCACCTCCACTACCAACCACCAACCACCACCACCAACCACCGCCACGACCACCAACCGCCACCACCCACTGCCACCACCAACCACCACCACCAACCACCACCAACCACCACCAACCACCAACCACCACCACCAACCACCACCACCAACCACCACCAATCACCAACCACCACCAATCACCAACCACCACCACCACCAACCATCACCACCAACCACCAACCACCACCAACCACCACCAACCACCACCACCAACCACCACCAATCACCAACCACCACCACCAACCATCACCACCAACCACCACCAACCACCAACCACCACCACCAACCACCACCACCAACCACCACCACCAATCACCAACCACCACCACCAACCACCACCAATCACCAACCATCACCACCAACCACCACCATCACCACCAACCACCAACCACCACCACCAACCACCAACCACCACCATCACCACCAACCACCAACCACCACCAACCACCACCATCACCACCAACCACCAACCACCACCAACCACTACCATCACCACCAACCACCACCAACCACCACCATCACCAACCACCACCATCACCACCAACCACCACCAACCACCACCACCAACCACCACCATCACCACCAACCACCACTAACCACCACCACCAACCACCACCACCACCAACCACCACCACCACCAACCACCACCACCAACCACCACCAACCACCACCAACCACCACCATCACCACCAACCACCACTAACCATCACCACCAACCACTACCAACCACCAGCCACCACCACCACCAACCACCACCAACCACCACCACCAACCACCACCACCAAACACCACCACCACCACCAACCACCACCACCAACCACCACCACCACCACCACCAACCACCACCACCACCAACCACCACCACCAACCACCACCAACCACCACCAACCACCACCATCACCACCAACCACTACCAACCACCAGCCACCACCACCACCACCAACCACCACCAACCACCAACCACCACCACCAACCACCACCACCAACCACCACCACCAATCACCAACCACCACCACCAACCACCACCAATCACCAACCATCACCACCAACCACCACCATCACCACCAACCACCAACCACCACCACCAACCACCAACCACCACCATCACCACCAACCACCAACCACCACCAACCACCACCATCACCACCAACTACCAACCACCACCAACCACTACCATCACCACCAACCACCACCAACCACCACCATCACCAACCACCACCATCACCACCAACCACCACCAACCACCACCACCAACCACCACCATCACCACCAACCACCACTAACCACCACCACCAACCACCACCACCAACCACCACCACCACCAACCACCACCACCAACCACCACCAACCACCACCAACCACCACCATCACCACCAACCACCACTAACCATCACCACCAACCACTACCAACCACCAGCCACCACCACCACCAACCACCACCAACCACCACCACCAACCACCACCACCAAACACCACCACCACCACCAACCACCACCACCAACCACCACCACCACCACCACCAACCACCACCACCACCACCAACCACCACCACCACCACCACCAACCACCACCAACCACCAACCACCACCAACCACCACCATCACCACCAACCACTACCAACCACCAGCCACCACCACCACCACCACCAACCACCACCAACCACCACCACCAACCACCACCACCATCACCAGCCACCACCACCAACCACCGCCGGCCTCTTAGCAGACGAGTCGTCGTAAATGAGCGATGTTTTTAATCAAAATCATCGCCGTAATTCTCCGCGTTGCGCGCCCCGCACGGGAACAAAGCCCCACGCTAACTACCCCGCTGCTAACTACCCCAATTAGCGGCGATCACGTGAGCCACCAGCGTGTGTCCTTGCTGGGGCTGAGGTGTGGGAGGGTGAGGTGTGGGGGGGTGGGGGGTGAGGGGTGGAGGGGGGTGAGGGGTGAGGTGTGGGGGTGGTTGAGGTGTGGGGGGTGGGGTGTGGGGGGGGTGAGGTGTGGGGGGGTGAGGTGTGGGGGGGGGGTGGTGATGTGGGGGGGGGTGACAATAGGAAACTATCTTCTGTAGAGTTTTTTAAAATCTTTCTACGGAAGCCGGAAGATGATAATTATCTTTAGTTATATGTCTAGAATGAGCTGGGCGAATGAATGGGGGAATTGGTGAATGGATGGGCGAATGCATATATTGCAATAACGAATGACTAAATGGATTCATACATGAATGAATACGTGGCATGAATGGGTTGGATAATTGAATCAGTACAATGGGGGTACAGTCGTGAATGGTGAATGAATGAGTAAATTGAGTATTCGCTGAATGAATGGAAGAACGAGTTCACACAACGTACAAATTAATTTCTAACAGCTGTGCGAGTGCATCCGAATGCATCGGTTAATTCATTAATTGAATAGGTAAACACACGGTGAATGAATGGAGGGGTCAATAATGTAATCGATGAGCCAGTGAATGAATTCGTTCGTGAATGAATTGATACATTCAATCATTGGTGAAGACATTGAATGGGTAAGTTCATGTTAAATGACTGAGTGAATGAATGTGTGAATGAAGGATGGACACATGGGCGTTCGCGTGCACGGCGGGTGTAGCGGTCCGCGCGCTGCGCTGCGAACCGCTACACCCGAGTTCGATTCCCGGTCGCGTTTCAGTGACAATTATCTAAACCGGTTCTGGGCCTACCGCCAGGTCGACTCGGCCTCAAACGAGCACCTGACGCGAAGTGTAAACGCCGCCGCCGCCTTGTGAGACAAACGCGGCCCAGCGTGGCCTGCCCAAGGTGCTTGCTCGCAAACAGCGCCCGCCCCGACGGTGTTTTAAGGCTACGCGGGGGGATCTTTGTCCTTGTCTTTAGCGCGCCCGTGTGTGTGTGTGTGTGGTGGTGGTGGTGGTGTGTGGGGGGGGCGGCAGGCAGCGCCATGGAGAAGGCCCTCGCCGTGGGCCAGGCCGGAGAGCTGTACGAGGAGTGGCTGGAACTCCACAACGGCTGCCTCTGCTGCTCCGTCAAGTACGTCAAGTGCGCGCGTGTGTCACTGTGGGCGTGTGTGTCACTGTGTGCGTGTGTGTGTCACTGTGCGTGTCACTGTGCGCGTGTGTGTGTCACTGTGCGCGCGTGTGTCACTGTGGGCGTGTGTGTGTCACTGTGCGTGTCACTGTGCGCGTGTGTGTGTCACTGTGCGCGTGTGTGTGTCACTGTGCGCGTGTGTGTGTCACTGCGCGTGTGTGTCACTGTGCGCGTGTCACTGTGCGCGTGTGTGTCACTGTGCGCGTGTGTGTGTCACTGTGCGCGTGTGTGTGTCACTGTGCGTGTGTGTGTGTCACTGTGGGCGTGTGTGTCACTGTGTGCGTGTGTGTGTCACTGTGCGTGTCACTGTGCGCGTGTGTGTGTCACTGTGCGCGCGTGTGTCACTGTGGGCGTGTGTGTGTCACTGTGCGTGTCACTGTGCGCGTGTGTGTGTCACTGTGCGCGTGTGTGTGTCACTGTGCGCGTGTGTGTGTCACTGTGGGCGTGTGTGTGTCACTGTACGCGTGTGTGTGTCACTGTACGCGTGTGTGTGTCACTGTACGCGTGTGTGTGTCACTGTGCGCGTGTGTGTGTCACTGTGCGCGTGTGTGTGTCACTGTGCGCGTGTGTGTGTAACTGTGCGTGTGTGTGTGTGTCACTGTGCGTGTGTGTGTGTGTGTCACTGTGCGCGTGTGTGTGTCACTGTGCGTGTGTGTGTGTCACTGTGCGCGTGTGTGTGTCACTGTGCGCGTGTGTGTGTCACTGTGCGCGTGTGTGTGTCACTGTGCGCGTGTGTGTGTCACTGTGCGCGTGTGTGTGTCACTGTGCGCGTGTGTGTGTCACTGTGCGCGTGTCACTGTGCGCGTGTGTGTGTCACTGTGCGCGCGTGTGTCACTGTGCGCGTGTGTGTGTCACTGTGCGCGTGTGTGTGTCACTGTGCGCGTGTGTGTGTCACTGTGCGCGTGTGTGTGTCACTGTGCGCGTGTGTGTGTCACTGTGCGCGTGTGTGTGTCACTGTGCGCGTGTGTGTGTCACTGTGCGCGTGTGTGTGTCACTGTGCGCGTGTGTGTGTCACTGTGCGCGTGTGTGTGTCACTGTGCGCGTGTGTGTGTCACTGTGCGCGTGTGTGTGTCACTGTGCGCGTGTGTGTGTCACTGTGCGCGTGTGTGTGTCACTGTGCGCGTGTGTGTGTCACTGTACGCGTGTGTGTGTCACTGTACGCGTGTGTGTGTCACTGTGCGCGTGTGTGTGTCACTGTGCGCGTGTCACTGTGCGCGTGTGTGTGTCACTGCGCGTGTGTGTGTCACTGTGCGCGTGTGTGTGTCACTGTGCGCGTGTGTGTGTCACTGTGCGCGTGTGTGTGTCACTGTGCGCGTGTGTGTGTCACTGTGCGCGTGTGTGTGTCACTGTGCGCGTGTGTGTGTCACTGTGCGCGTGTGTGTGTGTGTCACTGTGCGTGTGTGTGTGTCACTGTGCGCGTGTGTGTGTCACTGTGCGCGTGTGTGTGTGTCACTGTGCGCGTGTGTGTGTGTCACTGTGCGTGTGTGTGTGTCACTGTGCGCGTGTGTGTGTCACTGTGCACGTGTGTGTGTCACTGTGCGCGTGTGTGTGTCACTGTGCGCGTGTGTGTGTCACTGTGCGCGTGTGTGTGTCACTGTGCGCGCGTGTGTGTCACTGTGCGCGCGTGTGTGTCACTGTGCGCGCGTGTGTGTCACTGTGCGCGTGTGTGTGTAACTGTGCGCGTGTGTGTGTGTCACTGTGCGCGTGTGTGTGTAACTGTGCGCGTGTGTGTGTGTCACTGTGCGCGTGTGTGTGTCACTGTGCGCGTGTGTGTGTCACTGTGCGCGTGTGTGTGTCACTGTGCGCGTGTGTGTGTGTCACTGTGCGCGTGTGTGTGTAACTGTGCGCGTGTGTGTGTGTCACTGTGCGCGTGTGTGTGTCACTGTGCGCGTGTGTGTGTCACTGTGCGCGTGTGTGTGTCACTGTGCGCGTGTGTGTGTCACTGTGCGCGTGTGTGTGTCACTGTGCGCGTGTGTGTGTCACTGTGCGCGTGTGTGTGTCACTGTGCGCGTGTGTGTGTCACTGTGCGCGTGTGTGTGTCACTGTGCGCGTGTGTGTGTCACTGTGGACCGGCGGCGTGCCGGTTAGCGCGCTGCGCTACGAACCCGTCGTCCACGGGTAACGATTATCTGAATCGGGCCGGGGCCCCCCCTAGGTCGACTCAGCCTCAACTTACTTCCTGGTGCGGTGTGTAAACGTCGCCACTCGGGAGACAAAGGCGGCCGGGCGTGGTGCTGACCACCCACCCCCTCGTGTGTGCCGTTCCGGCCTTCGTAGGTGCTGCTCGCTAGCAGCACTTGCCCCAACAGTCTGTTAAAGGCTATACGGGGGGCATCTTTGTTTTTGTGTTAAGAGTGAGCGTCTCTGGGTGTCCGTCTCTCCCATCTAAGTGGCAGCGACAGCGTTCGTGCCAGGCTAGGTGCACTTTGAGGCTCACCGCGCCACGACGTTGGCTTGGGCTTGCCGGGCCCGGAGGTCGCGCGTCCGGCGGCCTCTCTCTCTCTCCAAGCACGAGGTGGTTCGCTGATTTCTGGCGGAGTTCCCCCCCCCCAAGATTGACGAAGAGTCGACGCCGATTGGCGGGGCGCGATTTTGACTCGTCCGCGTAAATTGCTCCAAAGTATTCTTGGTTCTTTGGGTAAAGTCACCACGTAGAAGGGAAACAATAAAATAACAAAAATATAAAACTAAAATTCTCACGACGTTTCGACTTTCAACACAAGCAATCATCGTCAGGCGTGAAAACCACAGCAAGATAATTGGTGCAAAGTGTGGAGCGAACAAAAAAAGCACAATCCCATTAAGAGAGAAGAGGAAAAAAAAATCCCGCAAGGCCCTCGTATCCCCCGGGAAGGGAAGAAACAAATCCGATATTTATCAACCCGATTCGCAATTTCATTGGTTAAGATCTCGGAGAATCGGGAACGGTTACGGAGCCAGTCTGTCACGGAGCGTCCGCGGCCGCGGCCGCGGGCCGGAATTACACGTCGGCTGACCCCGGGCAATTTGTTTTCAATGCAAATGACAGAGCCTGGGTTTTAATATTGAAGGGCGGGAAGGAAAGGGAAGGTGGAGGCGGGTGGCGTGCGGGGAGGGGAGGGCGAGGGCGAGGGGGGAGAAGTGAAAAAACTTTTTGCACGGGGATGGTAATAGCGGAGCGAGCGCGCTCGCGACGATGGGACATCCGCGATGATTGATCGGCCTGGGTGGGTCAGGCAACGACGTGAATGTGGGAGTGGTAATGATGTTAGCCCCCCAGCCCGCTCCACCCCCCCCCTCTTCCTCCACCTCCCCTCCCCAACTTCACCCCCCTTCCCCCCACTACACCGAGCTACGTCGACGCGGCTCGTCGATTCGTCGGCGTGGCGACGAATCGACGGTCGTGATTGGACGAGGGCGGCACGGGGGGGGGGCGGGGGTGGCGGGGGGGGGGTGAGTCACGCTCGTGCCTTGTTGTTCACGGTTGGAACCCCGGCGGGCCGCCCCGGTTAATGCTGCGGCCTCGTCGCGGTCAAACCGTGACGATGAAGACGATGAAGACGATGCCACCACCACGATGCCGCGCAAGCGTCCGCTCCGCTCACGCCGGGCGTTAAAGATCGCCTGACGTCCCATCCCGGTCGGGCCGGTCCCGCATTTAACCCCCGATTGGGCAGTGGTCCTTGCGCCTCCGATTAGCACGGTTGGCTACGCACGGTGCGGAAGAAGTTGAACGTACGCGATGCGGACGTCTGGCGGGCTGGTGAGACGCTGAACGTCAAAACCTGGTCAAGGGTTTCTCTCGCGTTAAACCAACGTGTGGCTGGTGGGATGTATAACAAAAAAATATATATATAAACTTTAGTTTTTGACGTTCGAGAGGCAGTCGGGGGGTCATGGGGGAACAATTAAAGGAAGGTCCGGAGCCTCGACGGAGATGAGTTCCAGACAGCGGGGGCCGCACAAGAGAAGGAGTGACCTCCCCCACTGAGCTCAGAGTCAACAATCGGTTTAATTACTCTTTGGTTCTATCGGGTAAAGTCACGTAGGTAAAAAATAAAATAACAAAAATCACGACGTTTCAGCCACAACACAAGCGGCCTTCATCAGGTGAAGGGACGAGACTGTCTGGAGGACATTTTTTTACCTACGTGACTTTACCCAATAGAACCAAAGAGTATGGATCCTAGCAGTCACGAAAGCTTTAAATCTAGAATCAGTTTGATTTTCTCTGTGTATCGATATTTCTGTCCGGCGCGTTGTTCTCTGGGTTTCTCTTGCACGTGCGTGTGGAGTTCATGCGCGGAGAGACACACACATGGCTTGGAGCGGGTAAATATTCCGGCTTTGCCATTTCGTCTCTCTAAACACCAGGGGGCGGATATCCCCACGCGCCTTGCCACAGACGGCGGCAGCGTTCGCCGCACCGGCAGAAAAGCCGACACTTTCGCATTCTCAGCAAGAGCTGGGACTTTAGCCCACATCTTGCGTAGCACCCACTGTAACGATGGGGTTTGTGTAGTTTTTTTATGTGTGTCTGTGTGTGTAGTCATTGGTTGTGGGGAGCGATAGTGTAGCGGTTAGCGCTACGCTGCGCTATGAACCTGGCGACCCGGGTTCGATTTCCGCTCACGGCCAACACCAGTGACGATTATCTGAACCGGTCCCGGGCCTCCCCTAGGTCGACTCAGCCTCAAATGAGTACCTGGTGCCGGTGTGTAAACATTGCCACTAGGGAGACAAAGGCGGTCGGGCGTGGTGCTGGCCACCCACCCCCTCGTGTACCGTTCCGGCCTTCATAGGTGCTCGCTAACAGCACTTGCCCCTACAGTCTGTTAAGGCTACACGGGGGATCTTTGTCTTATCTTTGTAGTCATTGGTGACCGGGCTGAGACGATCGCCTCGCTGCACTTGAGCACCCAGATTGAACTCATCTCAGTCTTATGCATGTCTGTGGGTCTCTATTTCAGCCTATGGGTCTCTGTGGGTTTCTCTGCGAGTCTGTGG